ATCACCTCGCTAGTTAGGGATAATGGAAACTGTAGCAGAACAAAGGGAGAAGGAATGGGGAAAATCTAGTCTCCTCTCAATGTTATGGAGAACTCCTCCCATAATCCTATGCAACCAACCAAAATGGGCGGGTTTTGGGGAATTTAAAACATTCTGAGATTCCATACCCTCAAAGCTGGGACAGGCTAATGCAGACCCTTGTTAATGACTGGTAAGCACTATCTTTATATTTCTGGATGGCCTCCTCTAGAGCAGAATTTCTTTGACTGCAAATCTCGAGTGTCTCCTCCAACCCAGAAAGTTCCGCCAGCTGCATCCCTGGTTTTTGCTCACATCTAAAAATGGGGGAAAGGTCATGCTTTAAAAATTGAATAAAGAACTCCATGAAATCCGGCATAGTATACTGGAGAGTGCTGGGTTTAGGAAGACTCAAAACACCTGGGTTTAAATCCCTGCTTTGTCATAAAAACTCAGTGGGAACTCATGGCGAAGCATTCCTTGGACATCTCACATACCTCCAACAACCCTGTTACGGTGGCCATCATTTGGAAGTGTCTAGATGGGCATGTAACAAACAGAAAGAACTCCATAAAATGGTGAAGTAGTTGCATTTACTCAAGAGTAAATCTCATCACACAAAAAGAGGGGTGCCTAGGACTGGCATTTTGAGGCTCAGGGTTTTCCTGACCAAAATGGAAGTATTGCTTTGATCAGTTCCACTCCCGGCTTGGTGAATAAATCATCACACATCCTATTTAAGAGCGCAGGCAATGAGCAGCTTCCAGCAATCTTGGGGAAATCATATGTGACCCAGGATCTTGGAAGGCTTCTCTCCACTAAAAATTACCAGTTATACCCTCTAGGGTAGTGGTCCCCAACCTTGGGCCTCCAGATGTTCTTGGACTACAACTCCCAGAAGCCTTCACCACCCCCTTTGCTGGCTACATCTTGCTGGAGAAAGTGAAATGGACTTCAGGTAGAAGATTCCAAGCCATACCTTTGCTTCTCTCCCCTTGTCTTTCCAGGTAATTCTAGTCTTTGGGAGCAACAGTCCCACTGTTCAGTGCAAGATAGGAATGACTACAATTCCCAGAAATCCTGGCCAGCAGCGCTAGTGGTGAAAGCTTCTGGGAGTTTTAGTCCAATGACATCTGGAGACCCAAGCTTGAGACTCACTGCTTTACGCCATCAACTGTAGAAAAATGTGTTTGAGCCTAATGGTTTTCAGAGCTGGATTTTTTGCAGAAACAGGGGTGTGTGTGTGTGTAGTTAAGGTTTACATTAAAACTCTTTACTAAGGAGGTGAACGAAACAAAGAAATAATGAAATGAAATATGGGAATGGAGAAAGAGCCACGTACCTATCCAGTGTGTTTTTGATGTCCTGAAAGAGAAAGGAAGAGAGAGATGGGTTCAGCTACTGCATTTTTTGTCCTTTTCCTCATCTAAGAAATCCTGTTTTCTCCTTGGAGAATAAAGCTATCAATGGCCAACACCCATCATGGTTGCCTTGTATCTCCAGTACCACAGGCAATGGAACAGATGATAGACGACACGAGGTGGTTCTGGTCACAGTGCTATTACCCTTGTCTAGAATAAAGCTATCAATGGCCAACACCCATTATGGTTGCCTTGTATCTCCAGTATCACAGGCAATGGAATAGATGGTAGACAACATGAGCTGGTTTTGGTCACAGTGCTATTACCCTTGCGTCTTGCTTGTGGGTTTCCCAAAGGTACTTCAATGGTCATTGTGGAAACAGAACACCAGAGCAATGCTCTTACATTAGATTCAAAAGAACTCTCTTTTTACCCGAGCTACGAGGCAAGAAGTCTTCCTCTTAACAACAACAACGTGCCATCCAGTCAATTCTGACTTGCGGTGATCCATTTCAGAGATTTCCAAGTAGAGAACACTAAGAAGTGGGTTTGCCCTTCCCTTCTTCCGGGGAGTGAGTGAGTGTGTGTGTGTACCCTGAGATTGTGCAGCTTGTCCAAGGCTACACAGGCTGGCCCTTCTCCCAGGAGGCACAGTGGGAAATTGGTCTCCAATCCTCTGGCTCCATACCCAGGAGGCACAGTGGGGAATTGGACTCCAATCCTCTGGCTCCATAATAAGATACCTAAACCACTGAGCAAATCCTCCTCCTCCTTACCTGCAGGAATTCACTTGTGGGCTGCTGGCACTTCTCCTCTATCTTGGAAATCAGCTTATCAAGGCTAGCAAACGCTGTAGAGAGCCTGGTGACATTTTCCTGTTGCTTTTCCTCAAATTTCCCCTTCAGATCTTCCAGGCAGGCCAGCCAATAAGATGACTTCTCATCAAGGAATGTCTGCATCTGCTCAAAAGTCAATATGATTTTCTTCTCTTCTAATTGTTTCTGTGGGAAGAGTGGGGAGAAATCACACAGAGACATCTCTCCAGGAAAGGGTCTCCACATGAGGTCACAACCTGGCAATATGATCCTGACACAAAGGTCACCAGTGGAGGTGGGATGAACTGTCATCTCAGGATATTATTATCATCATCGTCAACAACAACATGTAAACAAAGCCCAAATGATAAGAATTTGCATTTACTTTGCCAATAGACATTCTCATCAATATGCTACAACACAGACGTGGGTGGTCCAATAACCAGGGAAGGATTTAATAGCAATGTTTATGAAGCTTTGAGGGTTGAGAGTTGAGTACAAAATTTTGGAAGACATTTTAAAGAAAAACAGTTTCTCAACCGAAACACCTCATTCTCAAAACACAAAGAATTCAGGAGAACTCCAGTACCATGATTTAAAATGGTTCTGCTTAAAAAACAAAATGATGCATGTATCATGGGTTAATAGAAATGAACCTTCCCTCCACTGGTGCCTTCAGCACTACAGTGCCCATAATTCTCAGCTCACAATATGCTTGCAACATCCAGTACTCCAGCCAAGGATAATGAGAACTATAACCTAATAACTTCCGAAGGCACCAACGTGGTGATGGTTGAGTTAAATCCATATTTATTAACGGAGTGGATGATAAAAGTGTATCCATCTGTGGAAAAACGGATATCAGAGGTGCACCTCCTCAAACAGAAGAAGATTGAACAGGTTTCCCAGAATGAAGGCAGCTTATCAAAAAGGTTAGGAAAGTAACATATTTTTCTGTGTATAAGATGATATTTTTTCTATAATATTTAGATTAAAAATTGAGGTTGATAGATTAAAAATTGAGGTTCATCTTATACATAGAAGTAAGGGGGGGGATCAAAGCACTTGGCTCTCCCCCTCCACTTTCTTCGCAAAAAGTGGAGGGGAAAAGTAAGAATCAAAGCACTTTGATAGTTGCTTTCCCCTTTCTTTTGCTAAGCCCCGGGGTTAGGAAGTACCACGGAAAGCAGTGATCAAAATTTCTAATTTGTAGTTAGAAAAGTAGTGGTCGTTTTATACATCGGGGGATCTTATACACAGAAAAATACAGTAACCAATATTGTTAATGTACCAACATTAATTTTTTTTAGCAAATACCATGTTATATTGAGAGGGAAAGCACATTGGAGAAGCTTGAATGGGTGTTTCAATGAAGAAGAGACGTGTTACATCCAGAGTGGATTACTGTAATGTGCTCCATGTGAGGCTGCCTATTGAAACTTCAGTGGTCCCAAAATGCGGCGACCAGGCTGTTAACTGGGGCTGGACATACGGATCACACAACTGCCGGTACAGCAATTCCACCGGTTGCTGATCCATTTCCGCGCAGAATTCAAAGTGATGGTTGTAACCTACAGTAGAAAGCTTTTAATGGTCTGGGTGCCAGCTGTCTCAAGGACCACATTTAGAAGCCTGCTCAAGTGTTAAAATCATCAGGAGAGGCCTTTCTTCCAATCTCTCCACCTTCACTGGTGCCTTTGGTGGGGATAGGCCTTTCTCTCAATCTCTCCACCTTCACTGGTGCCTTTCGTGGGGACATGGGAGAGGAGAGGGCCTTCTCCGTTGCTACTCCCAGACTCTGGAACTCCCCCCCACCGGAAGTCAGACTGGTCCTGTCTTTGCTGTCTGTCTGCGAGCAGACAAAGTCCTTTCACTTCAGGCAGAATATTGTACAATTTGGCATGCTTTGACTACATGCTTTTCATGAAACACTCACCAGAGAGGTCTGGCTTCTCTTTTGCTCAGCCAAATCCTGAACAACCACCTTTGCTCTTTCTTCCTTCACGACCTTCACCCATGCTTGGATTTTCTCCTGCAAGTATGAGCAAGAATGTTGCTTCATGAGGGTTCATTTTACCTGACACCCATCAGCTATTTCCCTTCACACTCATATCCACCTTGATATCGAAGGAGACACTGCATGGCTCTTCCTAACAGGACATCCTCCAGATGGTCTGGCCTCCAACAACCATCGTCCCCAGCCAGGTTTGGCTTTCCCTGCTTTAAATGTCTGTAAATCTCTTCCCCTATTTCTGTCTTTCATCTGCTGCAAAAGGAACAATAAAGAGGGAGCAAGATGGAGAAAGAAGAGACACAGAGGGGAAAAGCTCTCTTGTGTTTGTAGGTGTGTACATGCACACCAGCACATCTTTGGGATTCTGGGGCCATTTTTCAATCACAGGGATTGCACCACCTTCCTACATGCTTTCAGAAGCACTTTGTTGTTGGGGGGGGGGAGGAAATGGGGTTTTGAGCCAAAATACACCACCTTCCTACATGCTTTCAGAAGCACCTTGTTGTGTTTTTTGGGAGGGGGAAAACTGGGTTTTAAGCCAAAACAAAAATAAACTGGAGGATCTGGGGCCTTTGATGCCTTGTTTTAGAGGTGAACTGTTCCCCCTGGAAGCCCCCAAAGGCCGAACTTATTTGGAGGGTGCAGTTCAGAATCTTGGATCACTCCTGTGAAGTTCAGAAGAAAATCCAACATGGATTTAACCATGCATATGAAATTGGAGACATCAGCCCCCGTGATGATGCTTGTCCCCTCCAGCTGTAAAGCACGAGTCAGGAATCTTTGGGCTTCCACTTGGCTTGGACGGCAATTCTTGCCCATCGCCACACTGGCCGAGGATCCGAGAACTGACCACTAAAACATCTGGAGAGACCCAAGCTCTCTTCTCCATCTTGGGCTGGAATACAGAGAAAACAGGACGTAATGCTGGGAAATGGTTCCTGCCTGTCACTACCTGGAATTGTATCCTACCTTACATTTTTGAGAAGCCTCCTCCATAGGAAGCACACTGTGATCTTGGTGCATTTCGGAGGAGTGGCAGACGTCACAAATGGGGGCGAGATCATTCTGGCAAAAGAGTTTCAGGGGCTCCTGGTGCTTCTCACACACGGCCTTCTCCCCTTGTGCCTGTCTTCTCAACAAAAGTTTCTGCACCACTCCCACAACACCCGCCAGTTGTCGGTTGGGCCTGAATTTCTTTTCCAGGACAATTTGTCTACACTGAGGACAGGAAGCCTCTGTGCCCAAATTTTCCCAACACCTGGTGAGGCAAGTTTGGCAAAAATTGTGGCCACAGTTTATAACCACGGGATCCTTGAAATATTCCAGGCAGATGGAGCAAGTGGCTGCTTGATCAGCTCCATTCTTTCCATGGCTGTCTTTTCCTGAAAAGAAAGTGAACATGTTTTTCTTTTCCAGCTTCACTCTATGACGAGAGCTTACATTTATGAATTCAAGAAAAGTGAGCTATCGTTCAACTGGGAGATGTTCGATGTTAACGAAGTAGTGGCTCAACATACTTTCGCAAGGTGAAAATTGTCTATCCCAAAATAAATTACTTCAGTTTTCTGGGACTGACAAATCCTTTGTTAGAAAGAACCCCTTTCATTAAAGGTCCCTGTTCATATTTAATTTATGCACATAGATCTAGTTAATTTATTTTAGCTATTTTTAAAAAAAGTCAAGCATCTGTTTATAGTTTATAGAAATTTAAGGTTCACTTTTTAATACCAAGTAATTTAAATTTTGTTTCTTTCTTCAGACATTAAATTGGCCTATATTCTTGAAGCAACGAGCTTTATCTCTCCATCTGAGGTAAATAAATCTGTGTTATGACTAGTTCTCTGACTCCAACCTTGGAACCTGATAACAAAATTTGTGTCACACATTTTTTACATTTCTTCCAATTCATTAATATAGAGGTTTGGTAGATTACTTTGGTGTTATACATATTCATTCATTTGTTTCATAAACATTTCTATGAAGGTTTGTAAAGGCCTTACAAAAGCATTTCTGAATATCAAAGAAAAGAAAGCATTTGTAGTGAATCCTGGCTTATTATTGGAATCATTTATGCCACCATATTTTTGTATCAACTTGGTTATTACCAAATTACATAGAACTTACACAGCACAGAGTAATGGCGGTGCCCCAAAGTACCTCAGGTGATAGCAGGGACTGGCTTCCCCTCACCAGCCTATGAGGGCGAGGGTTTGATAGGGCCAGCATAACCAGGGAACTTTAAATATCTTTGTCAAAGAAGGTACACATCCCTCAGCCTGCTCCCCATTTAGGGCTAGGGAAATAGCAACTATCAAATCACACAAAGACTTTCATGATCCCTGATTGATCATCTCTGCAACTTCAAAACTGCAAAAAAGTCTGGATGCCCTCCGGCAGGCACAGACTCACCTTCACCTATTTGGCCAAAGAGAAAAACTGCAGACCTCCACATGTTGCTGGCAGAGCAAATCCTAACAGCCCTGGGCAGTGATGAAGGATTATGGGATTTGCTGCCCAGTAACATAAAAAACAACTAAGATCATGGCCACATCACCTCCTGGCAAATAGAAGAGGAAGATATGGAGGCAGTGACAGATTTTATTTTCTTGGGCTCCATGATCACTGCAGATGTTGACAGTAGCCACGAAATTAAAAGATGCCCACTTCTTGGGAGGAAAGCGACAACAAACCTAGACAGCATCTTAAAAAGCAGAGACACCACCTTGCTGACAAAGGTCCGCATAGTCAAAGCTATGGTTTTCCAGTAGCGATGTATGGAAGTGAAAACTGGACCATAAAAAAGGCTGATTGCCGAAGAATTTGCGCTTTTGAATTGTGGTGCTGAAGGAGGCACTTGAGAGTCCCCTGGACTGCAAGGAGAACAAACCTATCTGTTCTGAAGGAAATCAACCCTGAGTGCTCACTGGAAGGACAGATCCTGAAGCTGAGGCTCCAGTACTTTGGCCATCTCATGAGAAGAGAAGACTCCCTGGAAAAGACCCTGATGTTGGAAATGTGTGAAGGCAAGAGGAGAAGGGGAGGACAGAGGATGAGATGGCTGGACAGTGTCATCGAAGTGACCAACATGAATTTGACCCAACTTCGGGACGCAGTGGAAGACAGGAGGGCCTGGCGTGTTCTGGTCCACGGGATCACATAGAGTCAGACATGACTTAACAACTAAACAACAACAAGATCTGGAAGGCCACAGTTGTCAAGCTGTCTCAGCTGGCAGGCAAGATCACAACATAGGAGAGAGTTGTGAACTGCACAGCTTGCCTTATCATATCATAAACCTCACACCTGCTCCCCACAGTTGTGGCTGCTTTTGAGGTGAAGCCTTTGGGGAAACAATATAGGGATTTATTTTTTCCTCTAAAGCCTTTTTGTTTTTCCCCATCAAACCAGAAAAAAAAGGCTTTCTTTCAAAATGATGAATACATTGTTTCAGACAATGTATTCATATTTTACTTTCATAAAATGTGTTCTACAAACTATGGGAGATATGCTTATGTAACACTACGTACAGTATCAGATCACATAATTCTGGTGCATGAGGAAAACCAACTTCTAGACTGCAAACTGAGATTACAACTTTCAAGGGCCAGAACAAGATGGAATTTCTGTCTCCCCACCTCCACCTTTTTCTTCCTCAGAGAATTAATACTTTGTGTCTTCTTGAAACTGAAAGAGAATACCAGAGGAAACAGAGTTTTCTTTCACAGACCAACAAAAGGACGGGAGGGGGGACCCACACACGATCCTTGTACAAGCTCCAAAGGCAGAGTTTGCATTCTGTTTGACATCTAATGGAGGAATTGCCTGCCTATCCCTGCCTTTGGGAAATTTTGCTTGCTTGTTTGACTATTATCAATGGTTCCTTCTACTTTTATTTTTTGCCTAATCCTCATAAACTGTAGCAAAACCAAAGAGGGTTTCTTAAGAGTTTAAGATACACATATGCACTCCTCACAGAATAGTAACAGAAAGGGATAAACAGCAAAACAAGCAACACGAGGCTTTTAATATCAGTTATAAAAAATAACAAGGAGTTGGTTTTCAAACATTGTAATGAGTAACTGTTAGCTTTTAAAAGTAACTTTCCATGTTTTGTCTGTAATACACATTCATTTGTGGAAAACTGGACACTGCCTTAACACAGTTAGGGAGTGTTCTAAGCATCATTACGTCAGAAGACAGCAGCCATGTGCTGCTTTATAGACATGTGTCACGATGGTCAGGTCCCACATCCACTACCCCTTTGCCCTCTGAGTGTGCGTGTGAGACCCCGGCAGGTTTTAAGGTTGCTGGCTATACAACCTGCCTGAAAACCAGCCCTTCAGGGCAGGACTGCCACCAACATACCTAACACTGAAACTCTTCCTCAGTAGGTAGTTGAGGGGCTGAATTTAGTATCATAGATCTGAGTCAATAATGAAGCCTTGACATGGAGAAGATTTTTATATTTACTTTTAAAAAGAGTTCAAAATAGAAAAATCCAAAAGTCAACGTGACACAAGTTGGGAAAAGTAGATCAGAACAAGAAAGCTAATATCCCTATCTAATGTTTACATACTAGCTTACCAACCTACATAGCATACACAGAGTGTGTTGCATTGGAATGACAGGACAGGACAACAAATGAGCACAGCATCCTTCTTTGAAGTAATCTAATGCAAGTTAATAGCCCCTTATTTATTTATTTATTGGACTTATATATATCGCCCCATAGCGCTACAAGCACTCTCCGGGCGGTTTACAATTTTTTAATTATACAGGCTACACATTGCCCCCCCAGCAAGCTGGGTACTCATTTTACTGACCTCGGAAGGATGGAAGGCTGAGTCAACCTTGAGCCGGCTACCTGGGATTTGAACCCCAGGTCGTGAGCAGAGTTTTAGCTGCAGTACAGCGTTTTAACCATTGCGCCACGAGGCTATACATTAAAACCTCATTCCATACTCCTCTACACTGACAAGCCACCAGAGTCTCACCCTTCTTTGAAGATTTGGAAAGGCAGTCACAGTTTCTCACCCCTTCCCAACAACCCAAAACAAGTCTTCTGCTTAGCACCCAGACAGACTGGCCTTGAGATGGCTTCCCTCATGAGACAAGATGCAGGTGTTCACTATCTTGCTACTGAATCTAACGCCAAAGCAAAGAGCCATTTTCCCTCATACTCAGGCCTGAATCAAGATGGATCCTGTATCCCACACTTCACTGCATCTCAGCTGCTTAACAACTTGTGAAAAAAAATTAGTCAAGCTTTGATGGTAAATAGACACTCATTAAAAAGGCTCTGGATGATTTCCAGAGAGTGCCTCAAATCACACAATTAAGCCTCTGAACAGAAAAATTTAAACATGAACAATCAAAACAACTGAACTGATATAAATTGAACATCATCCTCCAGAGGACCACCTATTCCTTGTGCATGTTTACCCTGATAACTTACTTCTCAATTAAGTTATATTTACTAATTCCAACACAAGATCTGTATGTTTTGTATGGTAAATGGTACCAACATTCCATGTATAGTGATGTTTTAATTTCTGAATTATCTCCCAAGCTTTCCCAGCAACAAAATTAATTTATATGTCTATCCTGCACTCACTCACTAGTGAATCTACACACACACATATATTTTGGATTTTAACAAGGTTAAAATCTGGACAAGCAGATTATGATAAATGTTGACTGTTTTCAGATGTGTCTTATACAGTATTTGTCTATATCAATGGCTAAATAAACGCTATGATAAATAGCTCCTATGGTAGTAGAATTATTTTGTGCCAGTTATGTCAGGGACAGCTTGAACAGATAAGCAGTCTTAAGGGATCTCGCCTGCCACATCTGATCTTTTAAAATTTAATGCAGGTTTGATGGATCATTTCTGGGAGGGCTCAACACTCAACATTCTGAGTCTACTAATTTACACCTTATCATTTTAGAGGGAAGAGTCAGTGCACTATTTTAGCCTAGTCGTAGGGGAGCCATTATTGCCCTGCAAGAGACGAGATTGCCAGATATGGGATCTGTCAAAGAAAAAAACTTCTCATTCTTCTGGCAGGGAAAACCATTATTTTTCAGACTACAACACCCATAATCCCCAAATAGCATCCTCTTGCTGGCTTAGAATTCTGGGAGTTGTTGTGTGAAAAAAAGTAAAATTTCAAAACTCTGCAGACTGGATTTATTATTGCCCTGCAAGAGACGAGATTGCCAGATATGGGATCTGTCAAAGAAAAAAACTTCTCATTCTTCTGGCAGGGAAAACCATTATTTTTCAGACTACAACACCCATAATCCCCAAATAGCATCCTCTTGCTGGCTTAGAATTCTGGGAGTTGTTGTGTGAAAAAAAGTAAAATTTCAAAACTCTGCAGACTGGATTTTCTTCAAAATAGACTTAGCACAGCTATCT